CCAGCGAAAACTGCTCGTAGCTTTCATCTTGCACCCTGCTCTGGACGGGCGAATCTCTTACCGTCCTGCTCAGTCTGTCTCGCCGGGATGTGGCTCACTTCTCTGTGGTCTGCATCTACCCTGTGGCATTACAGGGTCGTCTGCGAAGATGACCCTCCCTCTGCAGGGCCGCAGGACAGCTCGACACTGTCACGGCGCCTCCGTCACTCTCCTCAGGTAGGCATTGTATCGTCACAGGAGGGGCAGGCACAGGACACTTAGATGTTTACACAGAGCACACACATGAAGACAGCTCACTACAGGACATCGTCCCAGTGCTTCTACTTTATTAGTGATTTTTGTTCATCTCTTTCTGTGCCTTATTCATAAGTGAAACTTTATCATAGGTATATACGAATGTATAGGAGAAGCGTAGTCTGCCTGGCGTTGGTAATACCTGCAGTTTCGCTGGGGATCTTGGAATGTAGGCCCCACAGTAACTGGGGCGCTGATGGGCGGTTTTGACACGGTAGCCTCCCGCTGTGTCTTCTTTCTGTGTCAGGCATCCTGGCATCCCGCGTGATCTTGTATTTTCACCAGAATCCGCTAATGGTGCACTTTCTCATGTGCAGCCCTAGGGGTTCTGACAACACGCACTCGGTGTCCCTCAGCCAGTGCACACATACCACGTCCCTGTCGCCCTGAGACCTCCCCGTGCAACCCCTGAACGCCAGGCCCCATGCTCTCCCAGCCTTTCACAACCGCTGGCCTGATTTCTGGATAGTTTTTTGTCACCTGGCTTTTGATAGCAACTTTCAGGGCTTCTTTGTACGAGTGAACGTTATTGTAAGCAGAGGTCATCTTGCTTTGTAATTGGAGTCAGTCGATACCAGGATTTGAATCCAGCCCTGAGGCTTCCCTAAGCCTCAACTTTCCAACCTGTAAATGGGAACAATAGCAGCTCCAACATGGCTACTGGGAGGGCTGGGCGAGATTACAGCGGTCGGCACTGTGCCTGCCGCGTACATGATCAGCAATCCTGATCGCAGTACTTTAGTGATGTTTGTCATCATGGCGGGTAGAACAAGGGAATGCTTAAGAGGCAGGAAACACTGCCTGCTTGGGCCCTGCAGCTGGGGGACGTGTATGTGAGGCCCCCTCCTGTGGGTAGGAGGGGCAGAGGGCTTGGGGTGTGCTTCCGGCAGCTTTTCCTCTGGCTTCTGTGGAGTGTGTGCTTTTGCGAGGCGGACCCGGGACCGGCTGTCCAGGAGCCAGTCTGCCTTTAGTCCGAGATGCCCTGGCAGACAGAGTTCAGGGCTGCATGTTTGGGCCTCCACTTCTAAGCAGAGAGTCTAAGGATTTTTGGTTTGTTTTTGACAATTCTACAAAACACAGTACTTCTAAAGAAGTTCTTGGCCCTAATCTCAGTGCCACCTGGGTTTTGTCTTGGGAGTCCCTTCCATCCCTTATCTTCCAGTACACACAGTCATTTTATTTATTGCATCGTAAACGTGATGCTTGTCGCGGTCTGGTCTTCATCCAGCTGTCCCCATGTGACGCTTCCACCCTGGGCCCCACCCTTCATTCATCAGCACGCTGTTCTGCAGGAGCAGCTTCTTGAGGGGCGGCCCTTTCTGCTCCTGTCTGATTCCTTGGAACAGAGTCCCCAGAGTAGGAGTTTCAGCTAAAAGCCGAGGTGTTTACTTAGGGCATTATTTGCAAGCTTTTACAGAATTCATTTGCTTGTTTTTCTTTCTTTCTTTCTTTTTTTACAGGGGCAGGTCTCAGTATGTCACTGTCCGCTGCCTCAGCTCCCACGCAGTTGGGCCCCTCACTCCTGCCTCTTCCTCTCCTTTCTCCGCTCCTTTCTCTTCTTTCCCTCTTCTCTCCTCCTCCTCCTCTTCCTCCTCCTCCTCTTTTTCCTCCTCCTCCTTGTCCTCCTCTTCCTCTTCCTCCTCCTCCTTGTCCTCCTCCTCTTCCTCCTCCTCCTCCTTGTCCTCCTCTTCCTCTTCCTCCTCTTCCTCCTCCTCCTTGTCCTCCTCTTCTTCCTCCTCCTCCTTGTCCTCCTCTTCCTCCTCCTCCTTGTCCTCCTCTTCCACTTCCTCCTCTTCCTCCTCTTCCTCCTCCTCCTTGTCTTCCTCCTCTTCCTCTTCCTCCTCCTCCCCCTCCTCCTCCTCTTCCTCCTCCTCCTCCTTCTCCTCCTCCTTGTCCTTCTCCTCTTCCTTTTCCTCCTCTTCCTCCTTCTCCTCCTCCTTGTCCTCCTCCTCTTCCTTTTCCTCCTCTTCCTCCTTCTCCTCCTTCTTGTCCTCCTCCTCTTCCTTTTCCTCCTCCTCCTCCTCCTCTTCCTTTTCCTCCTCCTCCTCCTCCTCCTCCTCCTCCTCCTCCAACTGAGAGCAGCTGAGGATATGATCAGACATCTGGCCAGGTGTCTGAGCTGATGCTCCAGGGCTCAGTGCCAAGGGCACTGCCGGACCGTGTCCCCCAGTGCTGGTCCCTCCCCTCATCCAGCTCCACTCCTGGGGCTTCTAGGTGGCAGCGCCCCCAAAAGGCACTCATCTTTAGGCAGAAAGTCATCTTTTATTTACTTTGGAAGAGGACTTGTTTGCATGTGCAGAGCAGGACCCTGTTGTTTGCAGATGCTCCGAGCGTTGCCAGATAACTGAATGTCAAAAAGTGAGGCTTTTAAATCATTTTTACAAACCTCGACACAAAAGAATAGGTGCTTAGAATTTAAAAACAAAGCATGGCGTAAGGATTGCGGGAGGGGTTTCTAAGGCTGACACATCACTTGGGGTGAGTTCACGGCACTGAGTGTCAGGTGGCGGCAAAAGGAGGGCGTGGGGGAGGGCAGGGACTGGGGAAGGCAGGTGGGGACTCACTGCTGATCCAGAAGAGAAGAAACAGTGCCGGCTCCGTCGCAGGACCCCACCGGGTAGCCTTAACCCTAATCTTCTCTCACCAGTGGCCCGGGTAGGCCCGCAGCGACATGGAGCGTTAAAGTCATTGTGTTGCCTACCAGCCTTCGATAAGCCCCTGCCCCTCAGAGGGGAGGCCAGCCATGAGAGGGCTGTCGCGGAAAGCTAATTGTTCTCAGCATTCAGTGCTTTTGTTTTTTTGAAAAAAGAAATGAACAAGAGCAGTCCTCCGCATCCTGGGGCGGTGATAAAGGCAGACAGAGCCTCGTGCTGCAGAGAGGGCCGGCTCCCTTGCATTCTGCGAGCATTTTGCACTCTGGGAATACAGCATGGAGGAGGGTGGGCTGGGGAGGCTCTGCTGTAGAGGTGGGAGTCTCCCCAGGAGCCCCTGGCAGCAGCAGGGGCCTCTGCAGGGTGAGGTGAGGGGCCCCAAGCTGCTCACAGGCTCACTTGAGCTAGGTGAGCGCTCAGGGTGGAGCTGAAGTGGCTGGTCCAGGTTCCACATGGAAGCGAGAACCTGAGGTCTAAAGGTCCTGCCCGGTTCTGCTTCGGGGAAAACCGAGGCCTCGGGGGCCTGCACGGCGGGCTGAGGGTGAAGCCCGTGCAGCCAGGGTCAGCAAGCTCTGTCCTGGGGGGTGTCCAGAACCAGCCTGTTCACCCGGTTTCTCTCTTACTGCTTGCTGCAGGCGGCCGGGAGAACCCGGGTTCGGTTCTTGGCTTCCGGTTCCTGATTCGGGGCTGCTCTCACCAGAAGCGGAGGAGGCCTGACTAGGGGTCTGTCCTCCGCAGAATCCCAGCCTCAGTGGTCCCGACGGGAAAATTCCTCACGGCTCCTTGTGCGAGCCGTGTGAGGCACACTTCGCTCAGGACGGGCGACGGGTTGGGGCTGTGCGGTGCGCGGAGAGAGCGGCTCCACGCTAAGCCCAGGAGCACGGCTGCGGGCGCCGGACCGACCGCACTGGCAGGGCGGCTGCTGCGGCGGTCTGGGACGCCCCTCGAGGGCGGCGGGAGATCCGGACAGTCTTGCTGCGCTGACCCGCAGGGTCCTTGGCCTTTCTGGATCTTAGCAGGAAGTGCCCAGTTGGGCAGAAGCCTGAGTAACGTTTGGTCAGCAGAGAATGGTTGCCAGTGTTCAGGACCAGGCCCCTTCCCCTCCTGCGAACAGTACCTGAACACGACTTCCTGGGGTTTGGGGGTGCGCAAGACTGTGCCTTCGCCTCTAGCACGCAAAACGGGAAAGGCTAGCGCTGCGTGACTCTTGTCAGGAACACGTCCGGGACAATGGACCGATCACTTTACTCCTTTAAGCCTGGATTTGGGGATTTGAAACTAATTTCTTCCTTTTCCCAAGCGCGTATTCCTTCTTTAAGGGATTGGGGCCCCGGAAGTCACCCTGGGACTGGGCTGTAGCTCCGTGTCCAGGGTGCGCTTAGCAACAGGAGGCCCTGGGCTCGGACCTCAGCACCGCGGCCGGAGATGCCCGGAGGGGCAGACCAGGCCGCGGGCTTGGCCTGAGTCCACTGTGGCGCGGCCGTGACCTTCAACTCTACTTCTTCAGTAGTTGTAGGCTCTTGTTAAATTGTACTGAACGGAACTGTCGTGCGTGCGCACATACACACGCACGCACACACGCACGTACGCACGCACACATGCACAGACCTTGCATCTTCCGAAGCGGAAGGGACTCCCACATCCTGGGACTCGGGCAGGGGCTGCAGCTGTGGGGGCGTGGATGGGACATCGTGGGAGCCCAGAGGGCGGCGACCGCCACCCTTCCACTCCCCTCTCACGGGTACAGCGTGGCCATGTCGGCCTCCGTGGGTCGCAGGGTGCCGTTCTGCTGTGGTGAGCCTAGAGTTGCCTTGAACAACTTCTAACAAAACAGGAAACTGGCGCCTTCTCCTCAAGGGTTTATCAGCAGTTGTTCAGTGTTAGCTTTGGCTCTTCCCCTCATAAAATCACCCATCGAATATAATGACTTTCTGGGAAATGCTCTGGAAAATACCCCTGCTGCTGCGGATCAGATACCTGGCTGTTGCTGGCTCTGCCTCTGCACGCTGCTACTCCAAAACTCACCCCTTTCTTTTTCCTTCCCTCTCGGTCCAGAAACTGGATGGACTGGCCAAGCTGCGGACTGCCCGGGAAGCCCCATCGGAGTGCGTCTGTCCCCCAGGTAGGTGGAGGAGGCCCTCTGGGCTCCTGATCGCTGGACCTGGTCTTTCTGTGGCGGTCAGGACCGCTCAGGACACCCACGGTGAGGAGGGTGAGGAGGTCCTCCGGGGTCTTAGGCAGTTGGACCCCAGGACTGTCCTGGGACTGCACCTTCTCCGGTTGCTTTGTTTGTTAAAGAGTCTGCCTTGTTTGCCTGGGGGCCTCTATGGAAGAACTGAGGCGGCATCAGAGAGGACTTGGAGTAAAGGCTTAGGTGGCAGGAGAGCAGCAGCCACCTGTCCCTCTCACTTAATGCTGGAGAAAAAACAAACGATCCGTGGTGGATTTTTTGGGGGGGTGGGGCAGTACCAGGGATTGAACTCTGGACCTTGCACTTGCCAGGCAGGCACTTAAGCGCTGAGCTGTCTCCCCGGCCTCCTCAAGTGACCCATAGGATCCAGCATCTGCAGGAGACACTGCCTGGGGCCACGCCCAGGCAAGGGAGTGGACATCCTGGAAAATGCAGGCCTTCTCCACTTGTGCTGGTGTTGTTTGGTAGAGGCAGAGGAAAGGAATGGAAGCGCTGTCTGGATTATTCCAGTTGTCATGTTTCTTTTGGTTTGTTGGTATAGACCAGGAAGGACATGAATAAAATGTGGATTTTGCTGATACTTGATCCATGTGCTTGCATGCAGATCCTGATCAGGTCTTGGGTTCTGTGCTCAGGGAACTTAGCACGGTCAGGATGGAGAACGTCCACGTTCCCCGGTGTCTGCAGGGTTCCAGTGACGCTTGTCTAGGATGCGCGGCATACAGTGACAGTGAGAGTGGCTGGCTTCTTGGTGCTGGTTCAAAGAGCACGAGAGCCAAGCAGTGTCATGTGTCCTCACTGTCGGGCCTGCTGGCCACGCTGCTGGCCCAGAAGCCCGACTCCTGTGGCCCTCCCAGCCTCGCCAGGTGTAGGACCTCCGCAGGGGGTCCCGCGGTGGGAGAGGGCTCCGTGGTTGCGTGCACACGAGCCTTTCGAAGCCTCTGAGATGTTACTAGGAGGAAAAGGCCACGCAGCAGCACTCTGGAATTGTGAATTTGTGAGCAGAATGAAGTACCCAGAGTTGTACTTGGTTCCGGCTCTTTCTGTTTGTAGCTGTGACTGGGCTGACCGTGTGAAGGAGATTTCTTCCTGTGTTTTGCTGATAGAAGCTTCAGAAGTACCAAGGACAGATGACAGGTGGGAGGGGGAGGTGGGAGGCGCGTGCCACTCCTGAAGAAGGCAGAGCTAGGCAGAATTCGGGGCCTGCGTTCCCGTCAATGAGGGCTCCTCTCAGCAGTGGTGACCATACTGGAGTGGGCCCTGTAGGCCTTTTTGAGGTCATTTTTAGCTAATGACCCAGACAACCTTGTGGCCTGCCTTCCCTTTTGGAGTTGGGGGGCAGTGGGAGCCCTGGACCACGGGAGGGGCTCCAAAGGTCCCAGGGAGACCATGGGTTGGTGGGCTGGGCCCAAGTGGGGACCCCACACCCATCAGTCCAAGTGGAGCCTAGTTTTCCTAGAGTAGGTTTAGTCGTAAATACAAGAAATCCCCCTTCCTTGACAGTCAGATCCTTAACCTGAGCAGGCTGAGATATTCACCACCAAATATCTTGTGACAGCAGGGGACAAAGTCGGCAGGAGCCTTTGGCTCGGCACAAGTGAATGATTTGTCGGCTATCCTGTGGCACCCCCAGAATTCTGCTTTCTACCCCTCTTATGGAACATTCTTTTTTATTCTTCAGTGGGGATTGTGGTTTCAAGAGTTATGGCTTTTAGAATTTCAATCTTACAAGGGATTTTGAGCTTCAGACTTTCAGAGTTTGCTCTGTGGGGATCTTAAGGCTGGGATTGTGGATTCCAGGACTGTCTTTTGGGATTATGATCAGCACTAGGGTGGAAACCCTGTCCTGCTGAGAGCGTGTGGGATGGAATCCTGCCCAGCGGGGAGCAGCAGCAGAACTGTTGCTCTTGTCTCGGGGACTTCTGCTCAGGATGTCACTGTCTTCCAGGGGTGGTGGCCAGGGGTGCATTGCAGTGGCCTCAGCGGGGTCCTCTGCCCACAGTGTCTGTGCCTGCCATTTCTTTCCTGTCATGCACACATTGGGTTCTTCAGCTCCTGACACTGGAGCCTTTTATCCACAAAAGCCCCAGGGGTGGGCCCGGCTGCCCTTGTGGGAAACAGGCTATCTGCAGCCCCAGGAGCCTGAACTTGCGCCCGCTCTGGCCGGCTCTGATCAAAAAGTCTGGCAGACTTGGAGCCTGAAGGAGGGGACCACCCTCTGCAGCTTGGGGCCCCCTCTGATCTGAGATACCCGCAGGGTCCCGGGCCACATTTCCTTCCCACGGTCAGGGAGACAGTGTAACCCTTGTCAGGTCCTAGCAGGCAATGGGCAGATAAGAGAAGCCAGAGAAGGGGCTGGTTCTTCTGTGTGTGCTGCCCATTGTGAAATGGGCCTGCAGGGAGCTCTGAGACAGGCAGCGCAGCATGCCTCGAGTGGGGACATGGCCTGGGCCTGGTCCACGTCCGTGATGGGGGCACCAGCAGTGCTGGCCTCAGGAGAGCAGGGGAGCCTTGCGCTTACATCCTGAATCTGGAGTGGCAGTGGCAAGCCTTTTAAAGCTTTCGGTGACGCCAGACAACCTGCTGTGGCACACGTGCTGTAGGTTCACCACCACTGATCCAGAAGATGGTATAGCAGGGTGAGGTTGGTCCCCAAAGACAGGTCCCAGCCCTGGTCCCTAGTATTCTGAGTGTGACCTTGTGCAGAAATGGGAAATGGGGCCCTTGCGGATGCACAACAGTGACCCCCCCCATCCAGGGCCCTTTCTAAGAAGCCCAGCGGAGGCCTGAAGCTATGGCGCTGCCCAACCTGAGGTGCGGTATTCTCCTCCTCGGCCACATCCACAGTAAAGCTGAGCATAGGCTCTCAGCGCAGGAAGACGGTGACTGTGACTAGCAGAGAACTGAGCAAGCGCAGCAGGCACTGTGGTACGAGTTAGGTAAACGTGGCCTGTAACGGACCCCTGCCACTCTCCTCCTTCTACTCAGAGAAACCCTTCAAGGCTTTTTTCCACCCAGCTGAGCTGTCAGCTCTGGGGCTCATGTGCTTTGCAGTTGCACAGGTGCCTCCAACCCAAGGCCTGTGACACCGTGACAGTCATGTGATAAGAGCGCATGGGAGCGGGCTGCTGGCTAGACCGCAAGGAGCGCTGGGCTGTGAGGGAAGCCAGCAGCTTGACCCAGGCCAGCCCTGCAGACAATGCCAGCCCTGCTTGGGCCTCGACCATGTTCTGCCCGCTTGGGATATGTGCTCAGAGCCAGCACCTCCAAGCCCCAGAGGCCTGGATTCGAATCCTGGCAGCTCCTCTGTGTGCCCTAGGAAGCAGCTGCTCGTGCGGAGGGCTTGGGTTTAGTGATCCCAGAGCTACGAGCATCAGAACATCAGTCAATACTGTGGTCATCCTGCATGAATAAACAACACAGGAGACTCACCGGATTGTACAACTTGGCGATGGAGCCGCCTCGGCTGCGTCTGGGTTCAGAGGCTCTGCCCCCTTGACCTCTCTGCATCCTCTGCAGGTGGCATTCCCTTGGGTGAGCTCTACTTGGGGAAGGGGACCCCACAGCACCAGGCACGTCACACCCACTCCCCACCCCAGCAGAGCAGTCGTCCTCCTTTCCCACCATCTCAGCACAGGGGTGTGGGGGCCCTGGGGGCTGAACCGCCCCCTTGCCTCTCCCTGTTGAAGTCCTGACCTGTGGTGCCTCGGGAAAGTGAGTGGGGCTGCCAGGGCGGCCTCACCAGAAGGGAGCTGGACACAGCAGGCACACACCGGCAGACGATGGCCACCCATGGGCCAGGACAGCCTCCCGGGGGACCAACATGCTGCCACCTTAGTGGGGCTTCTGCCCTCCTCGGTGGGAGAAAAAGTACGTTTCTGTTGTTGAGGTCGCCCGGCCCGTGGTCCTTTTCCTTGGCAGCTCCTAGCACACTAACGCAGGTTTCATGGGCTTGGACAGGTGAGACAGGGCTAGAAATGGGGCGTGGGGAGCTTGCGCGCGCTTGGGCCGACACACCGAAGGTCGCGGGGTCGCCCTCGGGTGCGTCTGGGTATGCGTGAAATGCACACCCAGGCCCAAGCCCAGCACCTGGAGAGCACGGTTCACTCCTCCTGAGCACAGATGGCCATACTGGGTGGCACGAGCCCGGGAAAGGGCTGAGAGTGTCTTCCACGAGTGCGTGACGCCTTCACACCACTGTAACACTGAAAACTTTGAAGTCAAATCATCACAGCATGTGGGCCACCTGCCCTTTATAGTTAAAGGCACTATGATAAAAACAATCTCCAGAACTGGCCCTGATCTGCTTGGCATGCAGCGGGCACCAGCCCTGAGCGGTGGCTGTGCCCAGAGCCTGGGATGTGTGACTCCCCAGGAGGGCGGATGATCATGTGGGGAGCCCGAGAGGCAGCAGCTGGGGACGCTCGGCGCCACTAGAAATATGGTGGGGAGGAGCGGCTGCCCCCAGGAAAACTGGGCGGCTGTTTGGCTATTCTGAGAAGAAGAAAAGCAGAGACACTAGGAAACCACAAACCACGGATGACCAGCTCAGTCCTGCTCCAGGGACGGCTGGCCGGGCTGTCCTTGCTGGGGATCCTCGACCGACTCCAGGGCTGACCAAAGCACGCGAGGTCCTTCTCATCCCTTTGTGGATTTCTCCTAGAGGCAGCGAGCGACGGATGTGGCTCGTATTCAGGCGACCTGGCTAGGCTTCTATCACTGACCGACCTGTGACAGCGGTTGGGTTACCTGCCTTTGCTGTGCCCCACAGTTCCCACCGTGGGTTGGCGTTTCTAGGAGTACCACCCGGGGGCTGCAGAGGCCAGAGCGGGTTGACATGCAGACAGCACGGCGCTGCTTCCCAGGGTGAGCTGTGCTCTCAGCGCCAGCTCCAGTCCTCAGCTGGAGCTGCAGGGTCAAGAGAGGAGGGC